TTAGGGACATGTACAGGTAGGGTGTCACTGATCGCCACAGAATTTAGCGGCCTAGAGTTAGGGACATGTACAGGTAGGGTGTCACTGATCGCCCCAGAATACATCGACCTAGAGTTAGGGACATGTACAGATAGGGTGTCACTGACAGCAACAGAATACAGCAGCCCAGAGTTAGGTTGTACAGATAAGGTGTCACTGATCGCCACAGAATACAGTGACCTCAAGTTAGGGACATGTACAGGTAGGGTGTCACTGATCACCAAAGAATACAGCGACCCAGAGTTAGGGACATGTACAGGTAGGGTGTCACTGATCGCCACAGAATACAGCGACCTAGAGTTAGGGACATGTACAGGTAGGGTGTCAATGATCGCCACAGAATACAGCGACCCAGAGATTAGGACATGTACAGGTAGTGTGTCACTGATCACCACAGAATACAGCGGACTAGAGTTAGGGACATGTACAGGTAGGGGGTCACTGATCGCCACAGAATACAGCGGCCCAGAGTTAGGGACATGTACAGGTAGGGTGTCACTGACAGTCACAGTTAATCTGTGTTAGTATGAACTGACCGGGTGCAGACAATATAAAGCCTGATAACACTCATACATAGTAACTATGTTAACATTATATCAAACCTATATAATATGTAGTTAGACTTGGGTTAGTGACAGGTTGGATTTGATTATTAATAGGAAGACATTTTCAATGTATTCTTTATTGCTTCGTTATATTGTTCCCATGCTCTATAAAAAGTAATTGGAAGTTTGTGATAAAAACATACCGGATTCAGTACAAATTAGTGATTTTTAATAAACTAGCAGGAATGATCTTTGTTAGTATGACTGATTGTATGGAGGTGTGTTTGGGATGTATGTGATAATATTTGTCAGTGTCTCTGTGAGTATGACTGATTGTATGAAGGTGTGTTTGGGATGTTTGTAGTAATATTTGTCAGTGTCTTTGTGAGTATGACTGATCGTATGAAGGTGTGTTTGGGATGTATGTGGTAATATTTGTCAGTGTAAAGTGTGTGAAGGAGTAAGCCGTAATACTTGTTAGGACAGGTGTGAGTATGTATACTTTGATGTAATCATATAATTGTGAATGTGAGAATATCACAATGTGAGTATGAATATGAGTATGTGTGTGTCACCGTATATATGGTGTATGGATGGAAGAAAATCATTATCGTACTCCAGAGTACCATTCTCTTAATACTTACATTCTCTACGCTTTTGTAACATCTTAAAATAGATTCAATCACAACAGGCGAAGGAGTAATAAGTTGTTCTTGTAGTTTATTAGAAGTGTCGACCGGTTTCGCCTCTACCCTTGCCTTCTTTGTAACATCTTATGACAAAATTGAAGGTTCATAGGTTGCAATTTCATTGGATTCGCACATAAAAAACGGACCAGTTCCTTAAATGATATCTGTCCTTTAAACACTGAGGAACTACACCAAAGTAAAGGTGATCCGGTTTTTATTTATGCTTCCGTATGATTCCTTTATCGTGTATTTAAGATTTCACAGATATGCAATAACAAATTAACCAAGTATGTCAAGGGTATCAAATATACAATGTCAAAATGTGTACCAGTATAATTTTTATAAACATGTTTTTGAGTATATCATTCAATGTTATTTCATATGTCCATGAGCATATTTGTGAATGTATGATTGCATGTGCGAGTATGAATGCATGTTGGTATATACAGTATGCAAGTATGTGCGTACATGTATTGTGAACATAACTGAGTTTATATAAGGTTTGTATTTGTGTGAATTATTTGGTATATCATGAGGACAGTGACTGCATCTGACAAATACTGAATATATAAGTGTACCTGTGTGTGAGGTCAGTGTCTCCAGGTGATGTCAGTATCTGTACCTGTGTGTGAGGACATTGTCTCCAGGTGATGTCAGTATGTGTACCTGTGTGTGAGGACATTGTCTCCAGGTGATGTCAGTATGTGTACCTGTGTGTGAGGTCAGTGTCTCCAGGTGATGGGAATAGGTGTACCTGTGTGTGAGGACAATGTCTCCAGGTGATGGGAATATGTGTACCTGTGTGTGAGGACATTGTCTCCAGGTGATGTCAGTATGTGTACCTGTGTGTGAGGACATTGTCTACAGGTGATGTCAGTATGTGTACCTGTGTGTGAGGTCAATGTCTCCAGGTGATGTAAGTATGTGAACCTGTGTGTGAGGTCAGTGTCTCCAGGTGATTTCAGTATGTGTACCTGTGTGTGAGGTCAATGTCTCCAGGTGATGTAAGTATGTGAACCTGTGTGTGAGGTCAGTGTCTCCAGGGGATGTCAGTATGTGTACCTGTGTGTGAGGTCAGTGTCTCCAGGTGAGGTCAGTATGTGTACCTGTGTGTGAGGTCAGTGTCTCCAGGTGATGGGAATATGTGTACCTGTGTGTGAGGATAATGTCTCCAGGTGATGTCAGTATGTGAACCTGTGTGTGAGGTCAGTGTCTCCAGGTGATGTCAGTATGTGTACCTGGGTGTGAGGTCAGTGTCTCCAGGTGATCGGAATATGTGTATCTGTGTGTGAGGACAATGTCTCCATGTGATGGGAATATGTGTACCTGTGTGTGAGGACAATGTCTCCAGGTGATGGGAATATGTGTACCTGTGTGTGAGGATAATGTCTCCAGGTGATGTCAGTATGTGAACCTGTGTGCGAGGACATTGTATCCAGGTGATGTCAGTATGTGTACCTGTGTGTGATGTCAGTGTCTCCAGGCGATGTCAGTATGTGTACCTGTGTGTGAGAACATTGTCTCCAGGTGATGTCAGTATGTGTACCTGTGTGTGAGGTCAGTGTCTCCAGGTGATCGGAATATGTGTATCTGTGTGTGAGGACAATGTCTCCAGGTGATGGGAATATGTGTACCTGTGTGTGAGGTCAGTGTCTCCAGGTGATGTCAGTATGTGTACCTGTGTGTGAGTATATTGTCTCCAGATGATGTCAGTATGTGTGCCTGTGTGTGAGGATAGTGTCTCCAGATTATGTCAGTATGTGTACCTGTGTGTGAGGTCAATGTCTCCAGGTGATGTCAGTATGTGTACCTGTGTGTGAGGATATTGTCTCCAGATGATGTCAGTATGTGTACCTGTGTGTGAGGTCAATGTCTCCAGGTGATTGGAGTAGTGAGACTCTGTGCGAGCTGTAAAGTCCAACACCTCCTTTCTGTTAGCTTGCCACCTTCTTGACAACTGTATAACACAAAACTTAAACATCAGACTCAGAACCCTACCTATAAGCCTGGCATTGGATTTAAAATAGAGTACACTGGGATTAATTATACCTTTTCATGACTTTCTTTTTGTTACAAATGTTCTTTTTTTTTCTTCAGAATCCTGTCCAACAGTATAATATCCCAATTTTTATGTTATAATTTTTGAATGACTGCCTTGGATTACAGATAAAATAAACATTGTCTGCCAGGAGATTATTTTGCCTATAAAGAATCCCATCAATTTTTGTTGTTTGCTAAAATCAAATGGAATGACCACCCTAGACTTCTTTACCAAATGACAGCCTGATATGGAATTTAGTTTAATTAGTAAACCTTCTATTATTGAATTATTATTAGTTTCCCAACAGCAGTTAGAATAGCCTTTCCTTTGCTTACACCACTGTGATTAGTTAACTGAAACTAAAATACATAAAGTATTTGATACAGTGTTAGTTTTAAAGCATGTAGCATCAAGCGTTTGGTTCTCCCCAGGGTCAAGAAAAACCAAGCAGTGTCTCGAATGAAATCTGCATTTTGTTATTAAAAAGGCTATAGCCATGACTATTGAAAGTCGGGAGTCCCGAGTTATGGCACTATCACTAGTTTCACACTCTCGTTCTTTTGACCAATCAAGTTCACAGTCTGGTTCAATATTTTGATCAATGAGTTGATTGGATATATAAAGTAAATAGACAGATTGATGTTGTGTTCACCCTGAGGGCATACCACATGTTGCTGCTAGCAGTAATAATAACCTCCTGTGTTGTAAAGTTGCTGGCCAAGGTCTGTTCCTAAACCACTGTATACAACATACTGTCAATCTCTTTATAGGTGATAAACACTTTTGAGTTAAGTGGACTATCATACAACTTCAAATATCTCACAAGACAGGATAAACACAGTCCAATCCTACATTATAATGTTTTGTAGATGAACATTGCAAAAGATTTGGTTAGAATCTGAAGGTAAGTATTAAAAACTGTGAAGATTTTCTCTTACACATAATCAAATATCATTTAAACCCCAAATATATACTTTTATACATAATGTATATAGCAATGTTTGAATGATCTCATACTTCGTCCAAATTTCCACCAGAGATTGACCAACAACTTCACATGTAACACCCTGGTCCTGTCAAACTTTGACGAGCTGTTCCTGTACTTATAACCCTACACAAAGTTCTCCAAGTCGCACAAGTAAAGCTTTCAGTCAAAACCACTAGAAATATAAACAAAATAAAGAGCTTACAAATTATACCAGGGACGTATAATGGAGTCTATATACGGTCCCTGATTATACCAAGGGATTGTTTTGTTTCCCAATTTTTGAAGTGCCGGTTCAGTTGCAGCTTTATCAATTGGACTGAAATCTTCAGTAGGCTGAGCATATACAGAAATAGCTTATCATGCATTGACAACTACACTAGCATTGGACTGTAACAGTGATCAGCTCACAGGTCAGAGACAGCCTTGCTCATTATAAAACAGATACTTGCTTAATAAAAAGGTTTAAAAATAATCTTCTCAAAAATTATTGTTATCTACTTAAAAAAGTGTAATTTAATCCCATGCTAAATTTAGAAGGGTGACTACAGCTGGTAATAGTGTAACTTATAGTGATGAACTGTTTGACCTTGATGTCATCACGGAAATTTTCGACTAAGTGGCAGAGTTGAATGACATGATGGCTGACAACTGTTACAGAAGTCTGTGTACAGAAATATCAAGTCTTTAACGCAATAAACCTGAGAAGTTAGCCAGCAGATTGAGAATGTCAACGTATTTAGAAACTGTTGCAGCGCACGTTGTGATTTGGGATACTTGCTCAGCCTCTATCATTGGTACTAACTGGAAAACAAAGCAGTCACACAAGTAATTTAAACTACAAGTTTAAACATAAAACACCTCCCTGTCTGAAGGTACTGATGGAATCAGCCTTTTTTGTCCGGTTAACACCAGGTTAAACAATTGGCTTTTTTTCAAACTGATTATCAACATATTTCTCAATAACATCAGAATTGAAGACATAATGCAACAAGAGGACCAGAGGGCCTGTATCGCTCACCTGAATATGTTTAAAATAACTGGTATGAAGTAAAGATATAGCACTCCATGGTAGGTGCTGTAAGTACATATGAAATTTCAGAAAGATCCATCCAGTACTTGAGATATAGCGAGAACAAACTTCAAACAGAGCCCCGCCCCTATGCCCCTAGGGGGTCTTACCCACCGTTTATACAAAATTGAGTCCCCTTGGCCCAAGGATGCTCCTGATTAAATAAGGATAAAATCCAGTCATTCGTACAAAAGAAGGTATTTGAAGAATTTGCTATGTTTCCCCTATCGGGCCCCACCCTTCTGCCCCCAGGGGGGCCACACTCACTGTTTATACAAAATTGAGTCCCTTAATTTTGCCCAAGATCCTCCAGACCAAATTGGGAAGAAATCCCTTCATCTCTAAGGTAGAAGAAGGATTTTAAAGGTTTACCTCTATCTCCCCTATTGGGCCCCGCCCTTGGAGACCACAATTGAGTCCCCTTGGCCCAAGGATTCTCCAGACTAAATTAGGATAAAATCCCTTAACCCCTATGGTAGAAGAACGATTTTAAAGGTTTTACCTCTATTTCCCCTATTGGGCCCCGCCTCTCTGCCTCCAGGGGGTCAGACACACCGTTTATACAAAAGTTGTTCCCCTTACCTCAGGATGCTTCATACCAAATTTGGACAAGATCCTGTCATTCCTACAGAAGATGAAGGATTTTGAAGAATTTGTTGTTTCCCCTATTGGACCCATCCTCCCTTCTGCCCCCAGGGGGGGCCACACTCGCTGTTTATATGAAATTGAGTCCCTTTTGCCCATGGATGCTCCAGACTAAATTAGGATAAAATCCCTTATTCCCTATGGTAGAAGAAGGATTATAAAGGTTTTACCCCTATTTCCCCTATTGGGCCCCACCCCTGATCAGGTCCCAGGAGGGCTACACCCACCGTTTCTACAAAATTGGTTCCATTTCACCCAAGGATGCTCCACACCAAATATGGACCAAATCCTTTCATTCCTACAGAAGAAGAAGGATTTTGAAGAATTTGCTATGTTTTCCCTATTGGACCCACCCCTCAGCCCCTAGGGCGGTAAGACCCACCGTTTATACAAAATAATCCCCTTTTCCCAAGGATGCTCCACACCAAATATGGACTAAATCCTTTCATTCCTACAGAAGAATAAGGTTTTTAAAGAATAATTTGTTATGTTTCCCCTATTGGGTCCCGCCCCTTAGGCCCCTGGGGGGGCCAGACCCACGGTTTATTCAAAATAGGTTCCCGTTTACCCAAGGATGCTTCAGACCAAATATGGAACAAATCATTTCATTCCTACAGAAAAAGAAAGATTTAAAAAAAAATGTTATATTTCCCCTATTGGGCCACGCCCCTCAGCCCCCAGGGGGGCCAGAAACACCATTTATACAAAATTGGTTCCCCTTCACCCAAGAATGCTTCAGACCAAATATGAACCAAATCCTTTCATTCCTACAGAAGAAGAAGGATTTTAAAGAATTTACTGTTTCCCCTATTGGGCCCCACCCCTCAGGCCCATGGGGGGCCAGACCCACCGTTTATACAAAATTGGTTCCCCTTCACCCAAGGATGCTTCATGCCAAATATTGAACAAATCCTTTCATTCCTACAGAAGAAGAAGGATTTTAAAGAATTTGCTATATTTCCCCTATTGGGCCCCACCCCTCAGACCCCAGGGGGGCCAGACCCACCATTTATACAAAATCTGTTCCCCTCCCCCAAGAAAGCTTCTGACAAAATATGGAACAAATCCTTTCATTCCTACAGAAGAAGAAGGATTTAAAAGAATTTGTTATAGTTCCCCTATTGGGCCACGCCCCTCAGCCCCCAGGGGGGCCAGACCCACTATTTATACAAAATTTGTTCCCCTTTCCACAAGGATGCTTCTGACCAAATTTGGTCAAAATGTTCTCAGTCGTTCATAACTAGTAGTGTTTTAAAGGAAAAGTTGACGGACGGACGACGGATGATGGACGCTGCCGTCCTTCGGACCAGGTGAGCTAAAAACAGATGGTTGTACGATGATTTGTTCCTTTAACCATGTACACAATATACTAAATATAGAATTATCGCATGGTTCAAAACTTTGATTTTTTTTTTACCCAACATTATACTAAAGTCTCACTCATTACCTTTTTCCAGCTGTGAATATTTGTTTATGATTAACTTTACAATGATCAAACAACAGGTTGCTCAGGGAACTGCCACATCCTTATACATATCTATATTTTTTGACAAACAGAACAATCCAGATTAGAAAGAACTCACACATTATGACTAGTGTATTAAGACAATCAGATGTTAAATATTGTAATTCCAGGGGGCTTTACCTGTCTTAATTCCTGAAGTTGTGTAATTTTTGCCTTTTCTTCATCAACCCATAATTTCCTGAAATACAATAAGGATGTGTTTACTTCATTACATATCTTTTCTAACTTTTAACCAAATGCTCAAACCTCAAAACTTAACCCTAATATCATCCAACCCGTATACCCAACCAAACTACTCTGGTAATAATTATAAATGTGCCTCTTAAAGTTTCTATACCAGTAACTGTACTGTGTTTAATATGCTATATTTAGTCTACAGGTAATACAGAAGGTAGTTTTAATCGTGTGTAGTCAACCATAGTATTACACCCTCACTTATATTTTTCATCCATAATTGCATATCCGACTAGATTATTTAGGTTATATCTTCTTATATAAGACTAGCGGTCACTGGCCCTGGGTCAATCTTTTTCTCTCTCCTTGGAAGACGACAGGTAATTAATATCATAATTTTGGAATAAGGACCTCGCTACACTTGCAGATACAGAATTGCCGGCTTAACAGGGGACCTGGGACGTGACGCCGGCGTAGTTGACGACCAAGTGGTTCCCGGTAATTCCATATCGGCGAGAGCAGTGGCGGACGCATGTACCAGAGGTGCAGAAACCTTTATTACTGTATGTTAATAGATACTTCTATTTCATCACATGTAAATACTTCATTCGCCAAAACAAACCTGACTGAACTGTTTTTGTCGTTGCTGGTTATATGTTGTGGTTTATGTCTATATGACAATAACTGCGAAACACTCTCATTATCCCAGCCCTCACTACTCAACCTCACATACTCAAATCCAAGTACTAAATCTGAATATTAAAAAATACATGTAGTAATTTTTTCAAAAGTGAAGCCTTGATTCAAATGAGTAATGTTTTATTGGACCATAAACATGAGCCCTCACATAAAGTTTTACTGATTTGTCTGTTTTACCGTTTTAAGTCATATTTCATCTTTATATACTGTAGACCTGACGTGTACCACTGCATACATTTCTATTTTATTCTATTTGACAATTCTGGTTTAATAATAGATGAAAGTTTCAAGTTTAACATCCTTTAAAATGAACTTACAGGAGCTGACAGGGAATGTCAAATGACAGTTTACTCTCCCCCATGTATTCATGAACCAACAGCTTCACACTTCCGTTTGTTGTGTCGAAGCGGAATGTTCGTGTTGTGATATTGCTATACATTGGGCGTAGTGTGTCGATGCGCTTTGACCGGCGACGTAATGCTACCAGTCTGTGCCTCTCGTCACCATTGCTAACCTACAGTAGAATTCATATACATGTATGATTAGTTACAGTCATCAAATATGTTAACTACAGGACATTCAATAAGTGATCGGAATGTCAGTTATATTTATATCATAGGAGGAAAATATTTGTCACAAGAATCTATGAGCTTTAACAAGATTGGAATCTAATAAATGATAATCAATTCTTATAATAAAAAAAAAATGCTTTTCAGGCCAAACCAAAGATTATCTCTGTTTTCTGTTATTGTATCACTATATCAGGCCAAATCAAAGATTAACTCTGTTTTCTGTTATTGTATATCAGGCCAAATCAAAGATTATTTCTGTTTTCTGTCATTGTATATCAGGTCCTGTTATTGTATATCAGGCCAAATCAAAGATTATTTCTGTTTTCTGTCATTGTATATCAGGCCAAATCAAAGATTAACTCTGTTTTCTGTCATTGTATATCAGGTCCTGTTATTGTATATCAAGCCAAATCAAAGATTATCTCTGTTTTCTGTTATTGTATATCAGGCCAAATCAAAGATTAACTCTGTTTTCTGTCATTGTCTATCAGGCCAAACCAAAGAGTTTCTCTGTTTTCTGTTATTGTATATCAGGTCCTGTTATTGTATTTCAGGTCCTGTTATTGTATATCAGGCCAAACCAAATAGTTTCCCTGTTTTCTGTTATTGTATATCAGGCCAAACCAAAGAGTTTCCCTGTTTTCTGTTATTGTATATTAGGCCAAACCAAAGTGTATCTCTGTTTTCTGCTCAACTTTCCTTTTTCACATTGCCTATATAGTAAAACTTGCTGCAGAGACCAACTGTCTATACAGACTTCTTGTCTATACCTACTGAAAGTGTGTAACAACTCCAAAATGGAGCTTTCTCTATTACAGCAACCTGTCTATAAAGACCTACCAATAGAGTCCATTGGCTAAAACCACAAAACCGAGTTTAAAACTTCCAAAATGGTATATCTTCTCTAGCAGTAACCTATTCAATGCTATTTATAGACAGATTCACATGACTATATATGCATACCCTATCGTGGGAATCCTGGATGGACAAACTGCCGTCATTGATCCAAGACATAACAGTCACGTAGCCATTCATTATAGGATCTGGACCTCTGGAAAACACATATAAATTAACTATTGACTTGACCTCTGGACTCCGGATCCAATACATGCAATGTCATTCCCAAATTGAATTTTTCAAGTAAAGAAAACCTGAAGATTTTTAAATTTAGTTTTTCTTGGTTTTGAAGAAAATTCTACTGTTTTTCCTTAAGCTTAGAAATATGAATTAACAGGTAAACACTCCTGTAATTTCAGACTCTCCTTATAATACAATACAACAAGGTACTTACTGTAGCTCCAGACGTAATCGCATGTCTGGCGCCATCAGCAGATCCTGGAGTGTGAAGATGGCCTGGCCGAGCTGTGACATCTGTAACAAACAACAAATCGTTCACTTATAATCAACAACAAATGTATCAACAACTTGTGGTACCATTCTTCAACTGACCATTATGTTCCATTTCCTTACTTTGTCTATCTTTCTTACCTTAATATCATATTGATATCTGTTGGTTATCCTCTACTGACCATTATGTAGATATCTTACTGCACTGGTCTCTACCCTCCTGGATATCACATTTCTTACTATGTTGAATTGGTTAATCTCTCCTGTACAAAACATTGATTTCCTACCATACAGCTGATTATCTCCTGGAAATTAGTTTGATTTCTTACACTGTGCCAGTCATCCTTACTTGGACATACATACCTTACCATGCTGGTCAATCTCTCCTACACATTACCTTACACTGTGACAGTACATCATCACTTAGGCCTTACATACCTTACCATGCTGATCAATCTCTCCTACACATTACCTTACACTGTAACAGTACATCATCACTAAGACCTTACATACCTTACCATGCTGATCAATCTCTCCTACACATTACCTTACACTGTGACAGTACATCATCCCTTAGGCCTTACATACCTTACCATGCTGACCAATCTCTCCTACACATTACCTTACATTGTGCCTGTTATCCTCACTTGGACATCACATACCTTACCATGCTGGTCAATCTCTCCTACACATTACCTTTCAATGTGACAGTCATCCTCACTTGGACCTACATACCTTACCCTGCTGGTCAATCTCTCCTACACATTACCTTTCACTGTGACAGTCATCCTCACTTGGACCTACATACCTTACCGTGCTGGTCAATCTCTCCTACACATTACCTTACACTGTGCCTGTTATCCTCACTTGAACATTACATACCTTACTGTGCTGGTCAATCTCTCCTACACATTACCTTACACTGTGACAGTCATCATCACTTAGACCTTACATACCTTACCATGTTGGTCAATCTCTCCTACACATTACCTTACACTGTGCCTGTTATCCTCACTTGGACCTACATACCTTACCATGCTGGTCAATCTCTCCTACACATTACCTTACACTGTGACAGGTCATCCTCACTTGGACCTACATACCTTACCGTGCTGGTCAATCTCTCCTACACATTACCTTACACTGTGACAGTCATTCTCACTTGGACCTACATACCTTACCGTGCTGGTCAATCTCTCCTACACATTACCTTACACTGTGACAGTCATTCTCACTTGGACCTACATACCTTACCGTGCTGGTCAATCTCTCCTACACATTACCTTACACTGTGCCTGTTATCCTCACTTGGACCTACATACCTTACCGTGCTGGTCAATCTCTCCTACACATTACCTTACACTGTGACAGGTCATCCTCACTTGGACCTTACATACCTTACCGTGCTGGTCAATCTCTCCTACACATTACCTTACACTGTGACAGTACATCATCACTTAGACCTTACATACCTTACCATGCTGATCAATCTCTCCTACACATTACCTTACACTGTAACAGTCATCCTCACTTGGACCTTACATACCACTATGCTGGTCAATCTCTCCTAAACATTACCTTACACTGTGACAGTCATCCTCACTTGGACCTACATACCTTACCGTGCTGGTCAATCTCTCCTACACATTACCTTACACTGTGACAGTCATTCTCACTTGGACCTACATACCTTACCGTGCTGGTCAATCTCTCCTACACATTACCTTACACTGTGCCTGTTATCCTCACTTGGACCTACATACCTTACCGTGCTGGTCAATCTCTCCTACACATTACCTTACACTGTGACAGGTCATCCTCACTTGGACCTTACATACCTTACCGTGCTGGTCAATCTCTCCTACACATTACCTTACACTGTGACAGTACATCATCACTTAGACCTTACATACCTTACCATGCTGATCAATCTCTCCTACACATTACCTTACACTGTAACAGTCATCCTCACTTGGACCTTACATACCACTATGCTGGTCAATCTCTCCTAAACATTACCTTACACTGTGACAGTCATCCTCACTTGGACCCTACATACCTTACCGTGCTGGTCAATCTCTCCTACACATTACCTTACACTGTGACAGGTCATCCTCACTTGGACCTTACATACCTTACCGTGCTGGTCAATCTCTCCTACACATTACCTTACACTGTGACAGTACATCATCACTTAGACCTTACATACCTTACCATGCTGATCAATCTCTCCTACACATTACCTTACACTGTAACAGTCATCCTCACTTGGACCTTACATACCACTATGCTGGTCAATCTCTCCTAAACATTACCTTACACTGTGACAGTCATCCTCACTTGGACCTTACATACCTTACCGTGCTGGTCAATCTCTCCTACACATTCCCTTACACTGTGACAGGTCATCCTCACTTGGACCTACATACCTTACCATGCTGGTCAATCTCTCCTACACATTACCTTACACTGTGCCTGTTATCCTCACTTGGACCTACATACCTTACCGTGCTGGTCAATCTCTCCTACACATTACCTTACACTGTGACAGTCATCCTCACTTGGACCTTACATAGTTGAATATCTTACCGTGCCAGTCATCCTCTCCTTGACATTAGTTGAGTATCTTACCGTGCCAGTCATCCTCTCCTTGACATTAGTTGAGTATCTTACTGTGCCAGTCATCATCCTCTCCTTGACATTAGTTGAATATCTTACCGTGCCAGTCATCCTCTCCTTGACATTAGTTGAATATCTTATCGTGCCAGTCAACCTCTCCTTGACATTAGTTGAATATCTTACCGTGCCAGACATCCTCTCCTTGACATTAGTTGAATATCTTATCGTGCCAGTCATCCTCTCCTTGACATTAGTTGAATATCTTACCGTGCCAGTCATCCTCTCCTTCACATGAAACACGGTCAGTTTTACTCTGGTACAGGTGTCCACACCATTCAGATTGCCAAAACCAATTGTCTTCAAAAACTGTGGACTTTTACTTTTCTGTCAAAAGTAAACAATTAATTATCATGAAAATGTTCCTTTGTAGTATGACTTCAAACACTAGTACAACACTGGGTACACTTGGTCAGGATGATACATGTAATTCAGACCAGATTTGGCTAAAAAGATTTTATTGGTACAATATACTATGAAATGATTAACCCTTTTCCCCTCTATTGGCATGGACCTTATCCCTCTAATCTCCTGCAGGCCTGCAACTTTCATATTAGAAGGTTGGTTACTCTTTGCAATGGTATGCTTCATGCCAAATAAGGTCAAAATCACTTTATCCATACTTAACTAGTAGTCTTTTTTAGGGCCCTCAGCCCCTAGTGGTACCACATTCTTCCCTTACACAATGTACAATAGTTCCTACCCTGGTCTGAGGAATGTATTATAGGAAAGGTTGCATTAAAATCAGATTAGTCTTTCTGAAGGAGTCAGCTTCAAAATGAAAACGTTGACAATATGCCATGGTATCAGAAATATTGAATATGACTTCACTGTTAATTAACTTCTCGATCAAAATCAATTTGGATATAGTTACCTGTAAGTGGCTGACACAGAAAATCAAGGAAATATCACTCATTGTAAAATCTAAGGTGAGATAATAACTTTTACCCCTGTCTATGAAGAGATCAGTGGGGAATGGGGATATTTCCTCTAGATCTATCCCTACCTAATGTGTGAAGAGATCAGTGGGGAATGGGGATACTTTCCTCTAGAGATATCCCTACCTAATGTGTGAAGAGATCAGTTGGGAATGGGGATACTTTCCTCTAGATCTATCCCTACCTAATGTGTGAAGAGATCAGTGGGGAATGGGGATACTTTCCTCTAGATCTATCCCTATCTAATGTGTGAAGAGATCAGTGGGGAATAGGGATACTTTCCTCTAGATCTATCCCTATCTGATGTGTGAAGAGATCAGTGGGGAATGGGGATACTTTCCTCTAGAAATATCCCTACCTAATGTGTGAAGAGATCAGTTGGGAATGGGGATACTTTCCTCTAGATCTATCCATACCTAAAGTGTAAAGAGATCAGTGGGGAATGGGGATACTTTCCTCTAGAAATATCCCTACCTAATGTGTGAAGAGATCAGTTGGGAATGGGGATACTTTCCTCTAGAAATATCCCTACCTAATGTGTGAAGAGATCAGTTGGGAATGGGGATACTTTCCTCTAGATCTATCCCTATCTAATGTGTGAAGAGATCAGTGGGGAATGGGAATACTTTCCTCTAGATCTATCCATACGTAAAGTGAAAAGAGATCAGTGGGGAATGGGGATACTTTCCTCTAGATCTATCCATACGTAAAGTGTAAAGAGATCAGTGGGGAATGGGGATACTTTCCTCTAAAGATCTATCCCTACTTAATGTGTGAAGAGATCAGTGGGGAATGGGGATACTTTCCTCTAGAGATATCCCTACCTAATGTGTGAAGCATCCAAGGGAGATAATTGAAGAGGGATCAGGGGGAGATAACTACCTCTACGACTTCTGTGTGATTATGTTGTATCCAGTTCTGTTGCGGAGGTATAATGGTATATAGCACAACCAGCGGGTTAGGGGCCTTTCCACTGCTGTCACACTGCAAGTCCTCACAACCTGTACACAGACAGTTTTACATACAGTCAGAATACAACCTGTACACAGACAGTTTTACATACAGACAGAATACAACCTGTACACAGACAGTTTTACATACAGACAGAATACAACCTGTACACAGACAGTTTTACATACAGACAGAATACAACCTGTACACAGACAGTTTTACATACAGACAGAATACAACCTGTACACAGACAGTTTTACATACAGACAGAATACAACCTGTACACAGACAGTTTTACATACAGACAGAATACAACCTGTACACAGACAGTTTTACATACAGACAGAATACAACCTGTACACAGACAGTTTTACATACAGTCAGAATACAACCTGTACACAGACAGTTTTACATACAGACAGAATACAACCTGTACACAGACAGTTTTACATACAGTCAGAATACAACCTGTACACAGACAGTTTTACATACAGTCAGAATACACCCTGTACACAGACAGTTTTACATACAGTCAGAATACACCCTGTACACAGACAGTTTTACATACAGTCAGAATACACCCTGTACACAGACAGTTTTACATACAGTCAGAATACAACCTGTACACAGACAGTTTTACATACACTCAGAATACAACCTGTACACAGACAGTTTTACATACAGTCAGAATACACCCTGTACGCAGACAGTTTTACACACAGTCAGAATACAACCTGTACGCAGACAGTTTTACATACAGTCAGAATACAACCTGTAAACAGACAGTTTTACATACAGTCAGAATCGTATATCTGATCAGGGGAAAACCCATTCAGTTTTACATACAGTCAGAATTGTATATCTGATCAGGGGTAAACCCACTTAGTTTTACATACAGTCAGAATTATATATCTGATCAGGGGTAAACCCACTCAGTTTTACATACAGTCAGAATTGTATATCTAATCAGGGGTAAACCCATTCAGTTTTACATACAGTCAGAATTATGTATCTGATCAGGGGTAAACCCATTCAGTTTTACATACAGTCAGAATTGTATATCTGATCAGGGGTAAACCCACTCAGTTTTACATACAGTCAGAATTGTATATCTAATCAGGGGTAAACCCACTCAGTTTTACATACAGTCAGAATTATATATCTGATCAGGGGTACAAAGAAGCAATTTAAAGTAAAAATTAACAGCCAGAGAGCAGAGATGCTGGACAATATCATAAGTTCGAGGTATTTCATTACATTTCCCTTTCTTATACAGAGTCAGTCCCGTACTTACTTATACAGAGTCAGTCCCATACTTACTTATACTGAGTCAGTCCCATACTTACTTATACAGAGTCAGTCCCGTACTTACTTATACAGAGTCAGTCCCATACTTACTTATACAGAGTCAGTCCCGTACTTACTTATACAGAGTCAGTCCCGTACTTACTTATACTGAGTCAGTCCCATACTTACTTATACAGAGTCAGTCCCGTACTTACTTATACAGAGTCAGTCCCATACTTACTTATACAGAGTCAGTCCCGTACTTACTTATACAGAGTCAGTCCCGTACTTACTTATACAGAGTCAGTCCCGTACTTACTTATACAGAGTCAGTCCCGTACTTACTTATACAGAGTCAGTCCCGTACTTACTTATACAGAGTCAGTCCCGTACTTACTTATACAGAGTCAGTCCCGTACTTACTTATACAGAGTCAGTCCCGTACTTACTTATACAGAGTCAGTCCCGTACTTACTTATACAGAGTCAGTCCCGTACTTACTTATACAGAGTCAGTCCCGTACTTACTTATACAGAGTCAGTCCCGTACTTACTTATACAGAGTCAGTCCCGTACTTACTTATACAGAGTCAGTCCCGTACTTACTTATACAGAGTCAGTCCCGTACTTACTTATACAGAGTCAGTCCCGTACTTACTTATACAGAGTCAGTCCCGTACTTACTTATACAGAGTCAGTCCCGTACTTACTTATACAGAGTCAGTCCCGTACTTACTTATACAGAGTCAGTCCCGTACTTACTTATACAGAGTCAGTCCCGTACTTACTTATACAGAGTCAGTCCCGTACTTACTTATACAGAGTCAGTCCCGTACTTACTTATACAGAGTCAGTCCCGTACTTACTTATACAGAGTCAGTCCCGTACTTACTTATACAGAGTCAGTCCCGTACTTACTTATACAGAGTCAGTCCCGTACTTACTTATACAGAGTCAGTCCCGTACTTACTTATACAGAGTCAGTCCCGTACTTACTTATACAGAGTCAGTCCCGTACTTACTTATACAGAGTCAGTCCCGTACTTACTTATACAGAGTCAGTCCCGTACTTACTTATACAGAGTCAGTCCCGTACTTACTTATACAGAGTCAGTCCCGTACTTACTTATACAGAGTCAGTCCCGTACTTACTTATACAGAGTCAGTCCCGTACTTACTTATACAGAGTCAGTCCCGTACTTACTTATACAGAGTCAGTCCCGTACTTACTTATACAGAGTCAGTCCCGTACTTACTTATACAGAGTCAGTCCCGTACTTACTTATACAGAGTCAGTCCCGTACTTACTTATACAGAGTCAGTCCCGTACTTACTTATACAGAGTCAGTCCCGTACTTACTTATACAGAGTCGGTCCCATACTTACTTATACAGAGTCAGTCCCATACTTATTTATACAGAGTCAGTCCCGTACTTACTTATACAGAGTCAGTCCCATACTTACTTAAACAGAGTCAGTCCCGTACTTACTTATACAGAGTCAGTCCCATATTTACTAATACAGTCAGTTCCGTACTTAGTTATACAGAGTCAGTCCCATACTTACTTAAACAGAGTCAGTCCTGTACTTACTTATACAGAGTTAGTCCCGTACTTACTTATACAGAGTCAGTCCCATACTTTCTTATACTAAGTCAGTCCCATGCTTACTTATACAGAGTCAGTCCCATACTTTCTTATACTAAGTCAGTCCAATAATTACTTATACAGAGTCAGTCCCATACTTACTTACACAGAGTCAGTCCCGTACTTACTTATACAGAGCCGGTCCCATACTTACTTATACAGAGCCGGTCCTGTACTTACTTATACAGAGTCAGTCCTATACTTACTTATACAGAGTCAGTCCCGTACTTACTTATATAGAGTCAGTCCCATACTTACCTATACAGAGTTCCATGGCCGGATCTTCATCTGTGTTACCTGTTGTTTAAAAAAAAAAGGAGAAATATATAACTTTTTTTTTTGTATTTACTATTTCTTTTTTTTTAAAAGAACATTTCAAGGCCTGTCTCCAGTAAAGTGATGAGACTATCTTTTAACCATAAAAGTTCACAATATTTTCCTTTTTCAATTCTTCAACTTTTTAACCAGTCTTCCAACAGTGATACACAAATAATAAGTGATAGTTCCAGGAATATAGTCAACGCTATTGCTCTTAATTAGTTTTGGTTGGTTCTGTTTATCCCTTGCTTGGGTACCACACAGTATTCAGGGCAATTGAGGAATAGGGGAAACTAAGTGTAGTAGCTAATCACAACAAGCTCGGGATAAGTTGAGTTTTATTTATAAGGAAACGTCTACCGGTTTGGCCCGAACAGTGGGCTTCTTCAGGATGAGGAAGGTCTTCAGGTCCGGAAGAAGCCCACTGTTCGGGCAAAACTGGTAGATGTTTCCTAATAAATAAAATTCAACTTATCCCAAGCTTTTTGTGATTGACTTATATACTAATAAATGATCCAATTAATAGATAGATGCCAGTTAATTCTCATTCTCTGATAGATCTATGAACATCTTACTGATTACAAATGTTCATTAGTAAGGTAGACTGATCAATCTAGTATATGATGTTGAAATTGATTTATGTCACTAACAGAAAAATACCACAAGGTGTATTTTTCCATCACAACCGGTGCTATACAAAATACAAGAGGCCCAGAGGGCCTGTATTGCTCACCTGGATATCTCAGCAATCATGGCAAAATATTCTCCAAATAAGATCCAAGGGAATGGGCCAGACCCCTAGGCCAATCCTTGTAGCATATATGAATTAGATTTTGCATGCCCAGCAATTTTATGTATGGTTATGGGGTCAAGATCTCAACTGTTTCCAAGCTGTGGCTCCAAAACTAGGTCCCTAGGGTTGTGGCAAGACCACAGGATCAATTATAATATCATGACTGCATTCTAAATTTGTATATATAGTTTTTGGGTGCGAATCTCAACCGTTTCAAAGTTATGACCCAGGGGTCAAGTCTCCAAGGGTCGGGCAGACCTTGGGGACATCCTGGAAGCATATGTGCATTCGTCTCTTTATACTCAACAATTACATATATGGTTATAGGGTGGGGATCACAACTGTTTGCAAGCTGTGACACGGAAACTAGGTCCCTAGGGGTTTGGCCAGACCCCAGGGTCTATAATATCAAGACTTTGTTCATCTCTTTATGCCCAGCATTTGTATATATAGTTTTTGGGTGGGGATCTCAACCATTTCAAAGTTATGACCCAGGGACTATATCTCCAAGGTTGGGGCCAGACTCCAGGGCCATCCTAGAAGCACATGTGCATTCTTCTCTTTATACTCAGCAATTGCATATATGGTTATTGGGTGGGGATCTCAACCATTTCCAAGTAATAAACTATTTTTGGCCCCACCCCTTTGCCCAGGGGTCAGCCCCACCATTTGTACAATTTTGAATCCCCTCTACCTAGGGATGCTTCCAGTCAAATATGGTTGATATCCATCTCTTAGTTCCAGAGAAGAAGTTGCTTAAAGCAATGTAGCCAAATAACCCTTTATGGCCCTGCCCCTCAGCCCCCTGGGGGGTACGGCCCATTTTTGAATCCCCACCACCAAGGGATGCTTCCAGTCAAATTTAGTTAAATTTCAATCAGTGGTTATGAAGGAGAAGTCGTTTTAAGAAATTGTTGACGCACAGACGATGGAAAGAGGACGGACAACAGATGGACGACAGACTCCACAGTATGGCATAAGCTCACCTTAGTCCTTCGGACCCGGTGAGCTAATAATACTACTAGCACACTAGCTGACACAATCTAATCACTCTTTTCTGCACAACCGGTACGATACAAAATGTAATATTAGCTTATACCACTAGCACACAATCCAATCACTCTCGTCTGCACATCCATCACCTTAGCAGCAGATCCAGAAATCTTGAAAGAAGGTGAGGGNGGGGGGGGGCATCATTTGGAATCGGAATTGATGTTTAAATGTATACACCTCATGTCATATTAAAGGTGTGAAACGGACTGCCTAAAGCTGATAAAAAGACCCCTGGAGGAGGGTCCATCCCAACCCCTCAGAAAACAAGTGCTCTCTACACCAATCCCTCGATCCATCCATGCATAGCTTGTAGGTCCATCACCCTAGCTGATAGTGACTTAACACAGTAAAACATGTCTATCACCCCTTTACCCTAGCTGATAGTGACTTAACATAGTAAAACATGTCTATCACACCATTACCCTAGCTGATAGTGACTTAACACAGTTAAACATGTCTATCACACCTTTACCCTAGCTGATAGTGACTTAACACAGTAAAACATGTCTATCACACCTTTACCCTAGCTGATAGTGACTTAACACAGTTAAACATGTCTATCACACCTTTACCATAGCTGGTAGTGACTTAACACAGTAAAACATGTCTAACACACCTTTACCCTAGCTGATAGTGAATTAACACAGTAAAACATGTCTATCACACCTTCACCCTAGCTGATAGTGACTTAACACAGTAAAACATGTCTATCACACCTTTACCCTAGCTGGTAGTGACTTAACACAGTAAAACATGTCTAACACACCTTTACCATAGCTGGTAGTGAATTAACACAGTAAAACATGTCTAACACACCTTCACCCTACCTGATAGTGAATTAACACAGTAAAACATGTCTAACACACCTTCACCCTAGCTGATAGTGAATTAACACAGTAAAACATGTCTATCACACCTTCACCCTAGCTGATAGTGACTTAACACAGTAAAACATGTCTATCACACCTTTACCCTAGCTGATAGTGAATTAACACAGTAAAACATGTCTAACACGCCTTCACCCTAGCTGATAGTGAATTAACACAGTAAAACATGTCTATCACACCTTGAGGATTAGTTTCTATCACTTGTTTATACAGTGAAATTTGGTGATAAAACGAGATCAAGTCTTTACAAAGACAGTACTTTACTATATATTCCACCTGTCTCACAGACTCACATTTAATTTAACACAATTTCATAAAACAGACATCATTTCATTACTCCTGTTCACTTACAGAGGAAAACCAAATGGAGTATTCTCATCTGACAAGTGGAATAGACAACAGATTAAAACATCTTATACTTGGAAATGAAACTTTTGCATGTCCTGTATATTTTACGATGGACATGTTTTACTATTTTACCAAGTAAATCTACCTGAATCCAACCTGCAACCTATCCCACACCATCTAATCTAAATATCATTACCCCTACACGCTGGATGTTGGTTAATTTTTGGCAACAGAATGTAACCCCAGTGGAGCCCCAGTGGGGTCAGAGGTCGCACCAGATTGTGTTTCGTATTCCATCCCCGTGTCTGTCGGAGGCGGCTGCGAGATGGGGTCCCGTCCAGTTCTGGCCTGGATCTGTTCACGAAGACTCTGTAGCTGCATCTTGAGACATTCATAACTGGCAATGTGTAGGCACTGTATCCACAAGTCTCGTTCGTCCTCTGTGTTGGTGGCAAACTTGTAAGTGTGTTCATCTCCCTCGTACACTATAAATATATGTAAAAGTCAAATAATATAATGTATACTAATATGTATATTTGTATTAATGTCAACCATTTCCATGTAATATAATGTTGGTTAATATTTAGCTAGCAAGCTTTCATTGCACTAACAATACAATGGTAAGGCAGAAATGCTTTCAATTCAAATATATTTAGTTAAATTAGCTTGAAATATTGTTTGAAATTATTAACCCCAAAAAGTCATTTTCTTTGCAGTTTACAAAAGGAAAACAATACTATTAAAGAAATTTTCCACTGCAAATATTTTTCACACATATCCTTCATTGTTATTAAGGGAAACGTGTTTCATCTTTAAATGTTTCTGTCAAAATGTATTACCAATAATAAATCCAAACAGGTCTCCTGTTTCAGCTCCAGTAGACAGTTCTATGGTACACCGCTCCAAGATCAGCACACCAAGTGGATCCCCCTTCTGTAGTTGATGATATAAAATGTTTAAATACAAGATATCGGTACCATTTCTTAATTAATAGTATTCCATAGAAAAGCATTCTTAATTCAATGATAAGTTATTCCCAATCTCCTTGCGTGAATATTTTATTTCCTTTTTACTATTTATGAATTAAAACATAAGTTGGGATTCTAAAACTTTGCTGGATTTTAATTTTATAACAAGTACTCTGATAACTGTGACACAGTACATAATTAAATAACCTTGATCACGGATACACAAAATGATGATAACTCCTAAATCAGAATTTACTTTCTGGTAATTGTATTGGTATTTGTATGATAACGAATGATATGTGTGCCTATAAATATGTTTCTTTTATGTCGTGTTATGTATATATTGTAACTGTATTGTTTATAAATGTAAAAACTTGAAAAATCAAAAATCAAAAAAGAAATTGAAAATGAAAAAGAAATATACAGCTAATAACTGAGCTTTGACTTATTTTTCACTTAAAAATGTATACATGTAACATAAAAATGGGGGCTGAACTCATTGGTTTACTTTGGAATGAATTGTTTCTTAAATCAACAGCATCAACATAGCAGTATACTTACAAGTTCTTTACTTTTGAAATAAAACAATAAATTTCCTCTCAAACGAAAGAAGCGTTCCTGATTCACTGAAAAAGTAGAAGTCAAAATTACGATTCTATCTTATCATATTACTGCTAGCTACATGCAATTAAATCAATGGGAATTATATTATTCTACTGACATATGTCAAATGTCATGTACCCGGTACTTATTATACTAGTCTACTAGTCAGGTTTACTACAGTGTGTCAAACCTACCATAAAACATAATGGGTCTTTCACATTTTGTTCAGTGCAACATTTTCTATTTTATTTGTTATACCACAATAAATTTATATAAACAGGACTGGTATTTTTTACAAACTCATAGATTACATTCAACCTTTTGAGAAACTTCATGTTGCACTTCAATTAAGACACACACCCCCCAAAAAAAAGAATAAAAAATTAAATAGCATGCAGTATATTATGAAGTTACCTTCTCCCTTTTTAAATAGCCCATCGTGTTTATCTTTCATCCACAGAACGCCTTCCTTTGAGAAGCGTGAGGATGGCTGATGGGCAAGGAAGGATAACTCTTTACTGTTGAACCTCATGATGGCTCAGCTGTCTAGACACAAACATTCCACACCCCTCAGTAGGCATACATGTAGCAACACGTGTTTCTGGTATTTTCTACTGTCCTTACATAGTAAAATCCACAGTGGGTCAAACCTATTAAATCACATCCAGCATGTCTTCTAAAAGATCACCAACAATAAACCTGAAACAAAAGAAATTATACAGTTAGATAGAAACCAGACAGCTGTAACCTAAATCAGGGAACATACAATAATTTCACACTAATTGAAGAAAAAGTTTATCCGCTTCATATACATGTATTTTTTTATAAGACGACAAGCATCTTGTTGGGTGGTGACATCTATACATGTATTTTTTATTAGACGCCAAGCATCTTGTTGGGCGGTGACATCTATACATGTATTTTTTATTAGACGACAAGAATCTTGTTGGGTGGTGACATCTATACATGTATTTTTTATTAGACAACAAGCATCTTGTTGGGTGAAAACATCTATACATGAATTTTTTATTAGACGACAAGCATCTTGTTGGGTTGTGACATCTATACATGTATTTTTTATTAGACGGCAAGCATCTTGTTGGGTGAAAACATCTATACATGAATTTTTTATTAGACGACAAGCATCTTGTTGGGTTGTGACATCTATACATGTATTTTTTATTAGACGACAAGCCTCTTGTTGGGTGAAAACATCTATACATGTATTTTTTATTAGACGACAAGCCTCTTGTTGGGTGAAAACATCTATACATGTATTTTTTTATTAGACGACAAGCATCTTGTTGTGTGGTGACATCTATACATGTATTTTTTATTAGACAACAAGCATCTTGTTGGGTGAAAACATCTATACATGTATTTTTTATTAGACGACAAGCCTCTTGTTGGGTGAAAACATCTATACATGTATTTTTTATTAGACGACAAGCCTCTTGTTGGGTGAAAACATCTATACATGTATTTTTTATTAGACGACAAGCAGCTTGTTGGGTGAAAACATCTTTACATGTATTTTTTATTAGACGACAAGCATCTTGGTGGGTGAAAACATCTTTACATGTATTTTTTATTAGACGACAAGCATCTTGTTGGGTGAAAACATTTATACATGTGTTTTTTATTAGACGCCAAGCATCTTGTTGGGTGAAAACATCTTTACTTGTATTTTTTATTAGACGACAAGCATCTTGTTGGGTGAAAACATTTATACATGTTTTTTTTATTAGACGACAAGCATCTTGTTGGGTGAAAACATTTATACATGGGTTTTTTATTAGACGACAAGCATCTTGTTGGGTGAAAACATTTATACATGTGTTTTTTATTAGACGCCAAGCATCTTGTTGGGTGAAAACATCTTTACTTGTATTTTTTATTAGACGACAAGCATCTTGTTGGGTGAAAACATTTATACATGTGTTTTTTATTAGACGACAAGCATCTTGTTGGGTGGTGACATCTATACATGCGTAGGTTACAATGTAGGACAAGCAAAATAATTGATTTTACCTTAAGTTTGTTACTCAAATGCATCCTCTGAAGTCCGAGAATAAATATTCTCTCAACTCAGACATTTTTTGTGTACATTGATGTGCAGGTATCAAGCTATTTTTAAAAATGACCACAGAAATGGCACATTTGGAAATAAAAAATGTTTGAAATATTTATTCATTTGTTATTATTGGCATCTATGGTGTTGATATGGGTGGTCAAATCCTTCTGTGATGCCTTCTTGATTATCTCAAGTATGCGGTCAACATATCGTTTCCATAAGGTATAGTATAGACTTGCATTCTATGGGGGCAGTGGCTATTGCTTCTTGCTCCAGATGTTTCATGAACAAATTGGCCTAAATGGGAGACACTTGACTACCTATAGCAGTACCCAAGCATTTTTGATAGATGTGGTTTTGGAAACTAAAATATGTTGTTGTCAGAACAAATTCCAGCAATCCACGATGTCCTGAATCTGGAGGTTTGTGTTCTTACGTCAGGCTCATAGACTCTCACACATCTTAGATGACCAAGTATTAACAAAGCATAGATGAACCGAGTCATTTCAGTACATACATAACAACTATTGTACATACACTTACAGCGAAGCCAAATTGACATCGATTTTGTGGACAACTCGTACACATTTTACACCTTTGTGTGAATATGCATCACTGGTCATTTGTCTGATGAAGGTGACACAGTCCATAATCCATACTAACCAACCACAAGAAAATGTTCAGAAAAAATATTTATGATGTTATCTACTTTTTTGAAACAATATGACAAACCATACAGTTCACCACAAAACACAGTCTAATTGACAGTCACAGTAGAATCATGCAAAGGTGAGTGAATCTATTTATGAAATTTACTCACTTGTATTTTTCTGACTGACATGGATTACAATACAATTGTAATCAATGAGTGTTGCTACATATAAATATCTCAGTCTGTAATTGCGATTGAGCTAATTAATGGATATCTTTAAAAGAAAAAAAGAAAAAAGAAATGGTATGATATATATATATATACATAGAATGAACATGTATGGACACTTCAACACAGAAATGTGTCTGAATGTTTATTTTCACTCTGACGTGAGAGGATGCAGCCTATCTTTAACAGATTGGCCACAACTGCGCATATGGGTAATAATCCTGCATTTGGGAAACAGTTACCCATTTGAGTAACAATTTTATTACTGAAATTTTGTGCCCAACATGTTTAAAACGAGTTGATGTTTTCAGCCGGTTTAACATTCAATGTGTCGTTTCAAGACCGACGACATTAACGATCGCCAGAGACAAATGTTTATTAACAAACAACAATCAGGAGTTTGAGTCTGTCATGCAGATAACGTGTGGGAGACCCGGACCACGGTATTGTAGAGTACTCATTATATTGGGGGAGGGACCCAAGGGAACCAGCATCGACCTTAGAAACATAAATACAGCATATAACATAATCACCGATGTTAATCATCTGAAAAATATGTAGATAATAACCTAAACTAAGAAGTCAACCATATCTCACTTATATAACTCATCCGCCCATTAACTATGCATGCATAACATACCTGAACCCGACGACTTTTATTTTCTGTCAGCTAACCGTTACTGTCAGCCACTTCCGGAAATGTCAAAGATATCTCAAGGGGGGCTACTCTATTCTACAAAATGTACTACCGGGAACTCCTAATTTTAAATGTGAAGTAAAATCGTTTGTATTTTCTTAATGTGCCAACACATTTATTTCACTTTGTCAGCCAGAACGACCAGGACATTTTATAAGGGTGTCACTTATTACATTTCTTTTTGCAGACTGAAATTGTACTGCATTTTTGTCATGTTAAAATAAAATGAGGCACTGTCACAAAGGTATGAAAGTACAAAACAAGAATGTTAAATTTAAACTACACTTTAAATGTACACAGTGTAGTCTGTTCAGTTCCGCTTATGTTAAAGTTCTTAATTTGACCAATATTTATCTAATAAGTTCTTGTTTATGTAGTAAGTATTTGAAGTTGAGATAACATATATCCAAATACACTATTCCAGATAAGCGCAGCTATCTCAGTGAAGTGAGTTATCATGTGTCCCCTTTGAATGAAAGGAAACATATTGTAATAGTTCTGGTTCTTCTGGTTCTGGTTCTTCTAATATGATCTAGCCATTAAAGATATCTTGATGAAACTTGCGGTATAACTGTGTAACACGAGAAAGAGAAAATGTAACGGCCAGACCTGGGTTCGAACCCGGGGCCCTCCTAACTCTAGACGGACGCTATGCCAATTGCCGACGATCGACCAAGTCCAGTTCCACTACATTCCTCCCTCCTTTATCTAAATCTTCGCCCCCGCAGACAAAACTATTTACAACCCAAGTTCGGATACCCCCTTGCTAGCGTACTCCCAATGCTTGAAACAATGGTTTGCAAGCTCGCCAGTTTGGTAACAGGAGAAAGAGAACATGTAACGGCCACCCGGGGTTCGAGCCCGTGATCCCTCTAACTCAAGACGGACGCTCAAACTAATTGAGTTACCTGGTCGCCGACGATCGACCGAGTCCAGTTCCGCTACAACTGCATCACTTACAGATGATGCGCAAGTTAGTGTCATTAGATCACTGTGGCCTTTTCTTCAATGTCAAAACCAATCTGATTGTTTCAAACATTTAAAAGTGTACACGCCAACGTGATGCCAACAGTTCCTTACAGTGTCTAATTTTGCTTCAACTTCGTATGCAAAAATATGATGGCATTGTAAACTTTATCCAAGAATCATTCGCGACTATGGGGTCAGTTTTGAGGACTTCTGTTGAGGCGGGTCAGTTTTGAGGACTTCTGTTGAGGCGGGTCAGTTTTGAGGACTTCTGCTGAGGCGCCCATTACAATTATAACATACAGTGTATATGGATTCACCCACAAACGATGTACAGTGCACTGTCGTTAGGTCACTGTGACCTTGACCCCGAGGTCAAATACATGCTAAGTTTTCAGGAATATTTGGTCCGGAGCGTAATTTAAAACCGTTGAAGGAGAGACATACGTTGTTGTTCACCAACACAATTCTAGCTTGAATGTCCTCTTTAACTGTTGGGCGGCCATTCATTTCATATTTCATTCAGTACAGCCAAACAGATATCTGCTCCCACGATCATCATTCTATTTGCACATTTTATCTAGATATTGTTGAATACTTTTCGAAGGTGTTGATGTCGCCTGCAATGAAAAGTACGACTGAACCGGCAACGAGCTTGGAAGTAGATACAGTATGACCCTTGTTGTTTACCTGTATCCGACGGGGTTCTTATCCGTTCGCCGTTGATTCATTTGTTGTTCCGAAAATAAATTGGATTTTCATAAAACTAATTGATTTAATACGCTTCCAAGTGTAGTTTACTGATGAGGCGTATATGAGGAACAGTATAAAAGCCTTTCTAGACGTTCATATAAATATTAACATTACCATACCCTTTATAAAACCTTTCTGTCTGTTCAGTTAAAACTTCACGTTATAGCAAGCAAGTTGACATTCCAGGTATAAGACTGTAATGATCTGGTGAAAAAAAGTATTAAGTAACGTGTTATGAAAAACACTAAGAAATTGTACCCAAGGCCGGTGGCAGGCTGATGGGACGAGCTTACAACCACACGTGAATGGTATGCGGCTCACACTTTATTTTTTCCCCATTGAGCCTTGTTAAAACTCCCCAGTGGTGAGTTTCTGATTGAGGAGTATTGTCACACATACCCGTCTGGATAAACCTGTGTATGTGTTCTCCAGGTATGCTACGTGCAGGTTAACTAATTTCATATATTTATTTATAAACTTTTCTCTTTCTGTTTTTCTTTCTTTCTTTCTTCTTTCGAATTATTGGTATATCTGTACTTCCTACGGTCACCATTACACCACCGAAAGCACTTTCCAGAACAACCTTTTGCTTCATCGTTTGTAACTGTGGTAAAGCTCCTGTCTCTTTACAGTTGTGCATGTCGCAAATACCCTTTTTAACTTGTGAATGTATGTGTCTCTAAGCCTTTGGGTTTGATTTGGCTTTTGTTGCCAAGTCGTATTCAAACTTTCTCTGAATGTGGTGGGTCAGCTTCCGAACTTCATTTCGTACTCTCTTCTTCTCACTTTCAAAGTTTGTATTCATAGACGCCTACTTAGATAATGAATGTCTTTCTCCTGATCATGTCAGATTTTAATTTCACCTTTTTCGTTGTTTGATAGTTTTTCTGACTCACTTTAATCCCTGTTTGTTTCAAATAATCAGCCTACTCATGACATTACTGTGAGCTACATCCGCTTCCTCTAACACCTTCTTAAACGAAGCTTTGAAGCGCTTCCTTCTTTTTTCCAATCAAGAACAAGTCATTGGATGTGTCTGAAGTATTTTTTAGTTTCAGACAGTTTGTTATCCCGAGTTTCCTCTTGCCCTGACACCATGCTTACACTAAGTCTGGTATCGGGGCCAGAGGAAACTCGGACTAACAGCTTATAGTACAAGACATCGTATAGATCTGTGACTCTCACTTATGGGGAAAGTGGAGACAAATAACTACAACCAGGTTTCCAATGCACCATTTCTATCAAAATCGTGATAAGACTGTGTCAAAGCATCTCAAGGCTAATCTAGATGCAAATAGTCTCCATGCCTTCTGATTTTGGGCAGACCTGATGCTTCAAGTTTTTCACAAGTTTCAATCAGACGTTGTAGAAACTTTGGACAAAATCGCCAAACTGTCGAACTCTAGTACGCTAGACGCCATTTTTACCTCATTTAGTGTCATAGCGTCCTTACTTCATTCACTGTCAGTGAATCAAATAAAGACCCAGATGTTTAAAACATATTATTGAAAATGACTGTCAAAATGTAATAGACTGGTTTTAATTAAACCAGATGAAAGCAAACCCTGATAATTCCAGGCCATATGTATAGGGAAGCATTCGGTAGATGCTATACAGTCGTTTAGTATTGGCGAAATATATATTGGTCCTGACAGTGTTGTCAAACTTTTAGGTGTGAATTTTGATTCATTTTTAAACTCTGAAGCTCACATCTCTGAAATTTGTAGGAAAGCCTCAAGTCAATTGTCCATTTTATAGCGAATTTGGAGTTTGTTTTAACCAAACAAGGTAGACTAGTAATTTATAATTCTTTTATTGTTTCAAATGTTAACTACTGTCCTTTAGTCTGGCACTCTTGTTCAATGAAGGGTGTCAGAAAGCTAGAAAAGATACAAGAAAGAGCTTTAAGGTTTATACATTATGATCACAACTCATCCTTTAGACACTTACTCAGTAGTACCAACAGAGACAGGCTTCATGTAAGGCGTCTGAAGAATATGGGTTGTGAGGTTTTAAAAATTATAAACAAAATTTATCCTGAACATATCCATAACCTTGTAAATAATTGAAATTGTAAATACTGCACAGGTGCCCAGGGTCAACACTGTGAAGTATGGACATAAATCGTTTGCTTTTGAGGCCGCCCGGTCGTGGAACAGTCTCCCAAATGACTTCCGAAAAGTTGAAAACTTCAAAGAATTCAGGAGGCTGGTCCATTCCTGGGATGGCCCCATCTGCCTTTGCAATATCTGCAAAGAGTGATACTTCATACTGTGCCATGGTTACCTCTGCCACCTGATATTTTGGATTGTATGATACTTTTATTGTCTTATTTCATTTCTTATATGTTGTAATTCTATTCTATATTTTTGCAGCATCTTATTTTGTATTTTAATTCCATATATTCTAAAATATTATTTTTTTTGCAAAACTTGACAAATTATGTTAATTGATTTCGATATCATTTTTTAATTCACACTATGATAGTGTATATTCTGTCAATTTTTATTCTTTGCTATATTAGCATTGTATGTATATTCCACTTCATAGTGTTTTAATCCAAAGTCCTAAGTACTTCTTGTGTGATATACATGTACAAGTATTCATTCACTATTAACTATGACTTTTGTTTATTTATTCTGAATACTACTTATCTGTGATCACATTTAATGCTTTTAATATATTAACACTATTTTTATATATTTATTGCTTCAAAAGGGTCATATCCCGGGGGCCTTTGTAGGTAGGGGTTTCCCAATTACTCAGAAACCTGGGGTTATGGATACTTTCTTTTTCTGTGATAATTATTACTGCTTTTTATTAATATATGTGATAATCTCCCTTTACTTGTAATATAATATGTTATTGTTATTTTACATATGTTTGCCGCAATAATAGCTCTCAAGAGCTAATGTTCCTTGTTTACTTGTGTGCGACGTTAAATAAAAATTCTTGTATCTTGTGTCTTTTATAGTGTTCTTTGACGTTCTGGTGTGTCTGATATGTTCCACAAGTGCTGGGATATACAATGCATGCGAGATTCCAGCAAATCCCTAAAAGAGAGAATACTCCTCTTTACAAACGAGATATACGTTGTACGTTATTAGGGGGACGTGCTCTGCGAAGGAACTTGATGACCCCATCTACACTGTACAAGTCGATAACCTGATGGCTTTGGATGAAAACTGACTTTTTTTCGGCACAAGCTCCTGAGGACTACTACAGGAAGTCCACCAGCGTACCGATGTCCGACCGCCTTCTGGAGAAGATTAATAAGCTTGTACCTACTGTA